AACCTATCCCATTATTTCCAAATTATACATTGTTACTTTTGTTGAACTATTTGTTTCTAAATTAAAAGTGTGGTTATCTAATTAATTGAGTCTTCTTACAGGAAACTATCCCTTTGGGGAGAAAATTATAACATCAGGTAGGATATTTGCCCAAGTGACTTTTTCCAAGTTTTATATAATCCACAATATTTATTATGCTCCTATTTCATAATAGGATACTATGTAGATATTATGTAGGAATTGTCCATAAAAGGAGAGTGCAGTGCCAGATACCTGCCCACAAAGCATTTTAGTATATATTGGAGAATGAAGATACATCAAGACTTAGCTGAACACTTTTATTAACCAGAGTTACATATGTTCCAATAAAATGCAGAGTGGAAGCACAATTAGAATCAGGTGGGATTAATCATGAAAAATTTTTCAGAAAACAAATAGTTTTAAGCCAGATTTTGAAGTAGTTATTATCATTTGATTGGAAGGATAGGGATTAAATAAGCTCACCAGAAGGGAATTAAATGTCATTCAACAAATTCTGAATATCTCCTATGTGCAAGGCACTATACTCAGAGGTTCAGAGCTTCTTTGATACACGAAAGCTTCACACACTGTGCCTGCCCTCCTAATTTCTCCATCTAGTGATGGAAATGTACAGACAAGCAGCAATGGCATATGTCAAGCCTCACAAGCAGAAACACAGGTAAGATTCTCAGGGAATGAAAATAACTTGTTTGCCTGCACTAATGATTCCATGTAGAAAAATTAGAATCCATTTATGAAATGAGCAGGAGTGGATCACCAGTTGGCAGATGATGTTTAAGGCACACACATCAGCTAGAAACAGTTTCAGTCCTGAGAGCTATGAATCAAGAATTCCAAAATATCATTGATGTCCCAGGTTCCTGCTCTCTTTCTGCTCCATGATTCATAATGTGAAGCTCTAGAACTCATAATCACAATATGTCTTCAACCCACAATACAGTGCTGGGACTGAATTCCAGACCAAAAGAAAGGAAAGAGCAAGATATGACTGTGTCACTTTCCCATTCTTTTTTGAGGAGCTTTTATGAAAGACTCACCCTGCGACTTCCTTTTATACCTCTTTGAACCATACTGTGCCCCCTAACTGTAGGAAATGCTGCCCTTGTAGTTTTTCGCTGGCCATTTTGCCACCCCTAACAAATTAGACTTACCTAGTAAGAATGATGAGAATGAATATGAGACTGTGTTTACCAAGGTAGGATTGAGAAGTTCTTATTTAGAAAGCAGTGAACATAAGCAGGAAAGTGCTGAAGAAGCATTATGAACAGAATAATTGACAGATATTATGTTAATAATTGTATATATGTTTTGGAAAAATGATTGGACATGAGGTTGGTTTTAGACTATTGAATTAAACAGCAGAGATATTTTTAATTCAAATAGTTGTGTAAATTTAAATAGTTGTGTATTGACTCTGAAAATGGTAAATCTGAGAGAGAACCTGAGAAAACAATCCTCAATACTTGTGAATGAAAATATATGGAAGAATCAAAGGATGTGTGTGTGTGTGTGTGTGTGTAAGAGAGAGAGAGAGAAACAGAGAAAGATTATTTAAATTTCTGTTTAGTTAACAATCAGCCAGTTTGAATCACCAAGACAGACGGTGGTATGGTTGTAGAAATAAAGAAATCGGACATCTTTGAAACAGAAAAAAGGTGAAAATGCTTGAGTGGGAAAAGACACATGAGTAATAGATTCCTCTCTTTTATATTAAGTTTTGTAGCAGAAACTAGAATGGGAACATCTCCTCTGAGCCTACAAAGATGGATGCAGAAGTGAAACATATTCTAAGGGGCCTGGACTTTTCTCCAGCAGGCATACACACACATGCACAGACATACGCCTTCCCCATCTTAGCTGCCACTGCAGTCACTTGAACTAAAAATTTGAGTCATCTTTTCTTCCTTTCCTCAATACTTACATCCAATCAGCAGCAATTCCTATAAGCATTACTTCCAAAATATGTCTTGAATTTGACCACTTGTTATCCTCTCTACTGCTACCGACCTAGTTCAAGCCTCCAATATCTTTTGCTGGTGTTTCTACAACAATATCTCATCTGATCACCCTAAACTCTTATCCCTAACAAGGTAGTCTCCCCATGACAACTGGAGTGATTTTTAGAGAACATAAATCAGATTCTACCACTCATATGCTGAAAAGCGTTAGACAGATTTCTACTGTAATTAGAGTTAAAACCTTCAGATTCCATATCATGTCATACATAATCATATAAGATCTGACCCCTCAGCACTCTTCCACACATTCTCTCTGTTTTGGGACACTTTCTATTTATTTAGTACCTTGAGATCACTCGTGTACCTTTGCACTTACTGTTTGCCCTTCCTACAACACTCTTCTCCCATACAATTTTACCCTTATATCTGGTTCCTTCTCTCTCAGGCATTCAGAGAACAGCCCATCTCAAGGGGTTTCCTTCCACCAAGTCATCAACCTTGTTTTATTGTCTGCATCATAACTTTCACTATCGAAAATACATGTGTTATTCTATAGTGTATATTGTGTTTATCCACTAGAATGTAAGCTCCATAAGGCAAGCAGATTATCATTCATTTGCATTATTGTTTCCCTGCAAGTAAAACAGCTCTAAAACAGCTCTTGCCTCATCAGAAACACTCAGTAAATATTTGTGGAATAAATAAATGATTAGTATTTCTACTGGAAAATGGTCATAGCATTGTTTTTAAAATGAGGCAACCCTTTTGACTAGCTGATGAGAAACATGAACTATTAATACTCTTTTGCAATAGCAAGACCAAGGCCATAGCAGGAAAGCAAAAACTAATTATAGGCTATTGGGACATTCATTCTTGCACAGTAAACGGAGGGTAGAGGAACAGGGCTATTCAAGTTTGAAACTGAAGGTATATGTAAAGGAATAACCAGATCAGGAACTGTAGTCTAGTAGAGTGACTGTTTAATCCAATTTACTCAAGACAGTCTTTGTTTAAATCTATTATCCCACCTTCATCATCAGCCACGGCCCATTGCACTCTCAACAGTGTTCCTGGGATGAAAAACTATATAGTCAACTTTAGTCTAGGATGCTACAGATCTATCCATGGAGTTCCTACAAGCCAGTGAAAATGAAGGAAGATCTCCTGGTAGTTTTCTACCATGCTATTTGCTCCTCTGAAATACAGAAAAACTCAGAACGTTTTGCAAAGGCACAGGTCTCAAAGGGATCGGCATGGACATTTCCACCAGCTGCTTCGATGACTTTGCAATAAGCTGTCATCCAAGGAACTCAGCCTGAGCTCCTGCTAAAGTATTTGGCATAAAAAAAAATTAACACTGCTACTTCTGATGCAAGAACAGCATGTACTTCACTGAATCATCAAGTCAAACCAAAGATGGAAGGAGTCCCAGAATGCCAGCTGGGCTAAGCTCCTGCTTTAGGAAGCTAAATACAAAAACTTGATCTGGTCTCTAAGGGCATTTCCTTAACACACAGGTAAAATGGGCCATGTGAAGACTACATTATAGAAACAAATTATATGACTGTATGGCAGCTCCTTTACTGAATTTGTAAATATGGATCTAATAATTTTCCATTCAATTTTCTGTAGCTTTCTTCCAACTCTGACTTTGGAGAGCAATATTTTGAAAACTAACGTTTGACAGGTTGTCTCTGATAAACTCTATTACAATTTCTGCTATTAGCAGAATTAGTTTAGTAGATAAAATGAACATGTACTTCCTTAGAGCTTTATGAATGTTAAATCACTTAATCCTTAAAAAGACTCTAGGAAGTAGATTCTGTTGCTATTCCAATTTTACAGATAAGAAATGTGGGCCTCAGTGAGATTAAGCACCTTTTCAAAGATTAGGTAAGCAGCAGAGTTAAAGTAGAATTTACATCTAGGATTGCAAACTATAAAGCCTGTGCTGAGTTGCTGTGCTCTGCTCTTTAAATTATGCTATTATTTAGTACATAGTGCTATAAACAGGATGCCTTAAGTAATTGAAATAAAGAAAATATGAGCACTGTATCCAAAGGGATTTCAATCTATATTCTTCCTACTAGTTAAAATAAACCAAGCTTATACATCAAAAGATTAAAGAGATGTCTCACAAGCTTTAATAGAATCATTTTTTAAAATCCCTTTAGCTTGTTTTAGCATATCACTAGAATTAGTGATCCCTCCTCAAATTCCTTCTTACATTATTACAGCAATAGCAATAATCATTGCAAGTATGGATACACACACACACATACATACACACTCACACACACAGATGTTCTTCAACTTATGATGGAGTTATATCCCAATAAACTCAATTGTAAGTTGAAAATACTTAAGGCAAAAATGCATTTAATACACCTGATCTACAGAGCATCAAAGCTTGGCTTAGTCTACCTTAAACATGCCTGGAATACTTACATTAGCCAGTAGTTGGGCAAAATAACCTAACACAAAGCTTTTTATATTACAGGAGATAGCATTTTATTTATTTTATAATAAATATTTATTATTACAAAATATATTTATTTAATACTAAAATGATGAATATCTCATGAAATTTATTGGCTACTCCACTGAAAGTGAAAAAAAATGGTTATGTAGGTGCTCAAAGTAAAGTTTCTACTGACTGCAGATTGCTTTCATATCACCGTAACATTGGAAAATTAAGTCAAAGCATTGTAAGTTGAAGACTCTCTGTCTGTATATATGAGCGAGCGTGTGTGTGTGTGTGTTTGTATACACTATGTACCAGGCTGTGTTCTAAGTGTGTCACATAAACTCATTTAATTTTCTTTAATTGTCTCAAATTTTCAGATGAGAAAACTGAAGTGGAAACAGAGAAAATAACTTGTGTAATGTGACACTTGTTTTCAGTGGTAGAGCTAGGATTCAAACCCAGATCTTCTGTCTCCATAATGTGTTTGTAACCACTATTTCCGTTGTTCTATATAAATCAATTGACAAATGGCTTTCTTTCCTTTTCCAGGTTTTTATTTTGCTTTGTTTTTAAGAGAAATCAATTAGAGATAGTGTTTCATTTCCTTTGTTTTTTAGCACAAAGCATGTGGGTCACAGTGAGATAATCTAAGTCTATGCTACAAAACAAAAATCATTAGTTTATCACATAAAAATACATGATGACATTACCAAAACTTCTCTTTTCCTCTCACACTCTCTATATAATATGTAGGGTGCTAATGACATCAATAGAACATAAATTTTAGTATTTTGCCTGCTTAAACTATGGGGTTGGTTTTTTTAAAAAGAAAAAATTTAATGTGCTCTTCTCTTTTGTACTTTTCTGCAGATGATCTCTTTCCAGTAGAATCAAGGCAGCCATCTGCAGGAAGGAGAAGAGAGAGATAAATAGAAAAAGAGAAATAAGAAATAAAAGCTTTAATAACAGAAATGCATGGAGAAAGAGTTTCAGCTGATGATCTCTAAAATAAAATTTTAATTTCAAAATATGTTTAAAAGCTATTTCCAAGTGTTAAAGTAGGTTTGAAATGAATATACTACTAGAAAAAGAAGAGTTTATTAATTCTTATATTTTCTCTCTTGACATTTTAAGAGACAGGCCTGCCCATTTGGCCATGTAACTTAATATAAGGGACATCTTTCTAGGAGGATTAGGAATAAATCATCCACTTCTCATACAAATGAATTGTGAGATGAAGGAGAAAGTGCAAGAGAAAGCAGGTATTCAGACATGTCCTCTTACTTCCTCTTTGGACAAGATTAGAAATATTACATTAACTGAGAAACATACATTAAGACATTTAAAAAAAATTACACAGTCTGTAGTATTATATAGAATATTGAAATATAGGTTATATAGATGTCATTAGCCACCTAAACTATCTGGAATTTCCATCCAGTGCCTTCTCTAAAAAGAAATGAAATTATGCCAATATTAAGATGACCCCAACAAAGAAATCTTGGTAGCACTGCATAGAAGTAGAGAAAATACCTGAGCTAATACCTTACAATTGTTCTGAGCTGTTGCATATCATAGAGAGTACTCAAGATTTCCTTTAACTTTGGATAGGGACAAAGAAAATAGCCAAATTGATACTTAGACATCTACATGTGGGCCTATGTGGTGACAATCAAAAGTAAATCCACAACACAGATTATGGTGCAGCTATTATAGGCCAAGAGCAGAACGGAGACTTTGACATAGAATTGGAAAGGTCCATAGGACAAGCAAAAGGTGAAATGAAACTTGGTTCACCCAAGGAAAAACACTAAGTCTCGATCAAGCTAAGAGGCTAGATTATAAGTTATACTAGTGGCAGGATTCAATAACATAGGCTGAAGGAATGTTCAAGAATGACACCACTTGGACTCAAAAGGACCTAGTCCACAGAGATTAGACCAATGAATCCCAGCCAAATCTAAGGAAGACCCAAAGAATTCCAAGTCAGAAGCGGCTGGTTACCTTTCTACTAATAATCCTAGACTCCATCATGAGGAAGAAGGTCTGACTCCAAGATCACAAGAAAAAATGAGTATTTACCAGATTATACCAATCAGAAACAAAACATACTCCTAAAAAAATGAATTAAATTATTGCAGTAGACTAACCTTATATATTTGAATAAAATATAAGAGTTTTTAAAAAATTCAACACCCAGTAAATGTAGGAGTACATAGTAAAAATCAGATAAGATCGAGAAGTATAAGTTCTAAATGACTCTGCATTTTCTTATCATATGTGAATATAGCAAAATTAAGTATGAAAATAAAAATACAACTAACAGGAAATTTTGGATTTCATCAAAAGCAATGCTTATAGGAAAATTTACAGCATTGAATGCATGCATTGGAAGAGAATAAATATCTAAAATCAGTAATCTAAGCTTCCACATGAAGAAGCTAGAAAAAGAGGAGCAAATTAAATCTAAAGAAAGTAGAGGGAAATATCAAAAATTAGAGCAAAAATCAATAAAAACTAAAAGAGAAAATCAGCAAAACAAAACTTTTTGTTTGGTTCTTTGAAAAATAGGAATAAAATTGATAAATTCTAGCTAGCCTAGGCAAGAAAAAAGAAAACACCAATTACTAATTTCAGAAATAAATGATGGACAATTATTAATTATACCATGGATATAGCAAGGATATAAAAAAATATTATGAGAAACTCTGAGCCCACAAATTTGATAACTTAGATATAATGGACCAATTCCTGGGCAGAGAAAATCTATCAAAACTTACAGAAGAAAAAATTAAAAAACTGAATGTTCTGTATCTATTAACGAAGTTGAATCAACCATTAGTAATCTTCCAAAACAAAAATCACCAGGTTTAGATGGTTTCACCTGTTTGGTGAATTCTACCAAACATTCAAGGAAGAAATAACACCAGTTCTCTAAAATATCTTCCAAAAAGAACACAAGCAGAGGAAACTTCCTAACTCATTCTATGAGGCCAGCATTATTCTGACACTAAAACCAGACAAAGACATTGCAAGAAAGGAAAATTGTAGAGCATTAACTCTCATGAACATAGGTACAAAATTTGTCAAATATTAATACATCAAATCCAACAATATGTAAAAATAATCATACACTACAAATGAGTGGGATTTATTCCATATATTCAAGGCCAGTTCAACATTTGAAAATCAATTACTGTAATCTACCTTAACAGGCTAGGGAAGAAAAATCCTGTTGTAATCTTATTAATACATGTAGAACATGTTCCAACATATAAAGGAGCTCAATAATGTGTACATATGGACATGAAAAGAATTGTAGACACTGGAGACTCAGAATGATGGGAGGAGAATGAAGGATGAGAAATTGTCTAACAGGTACAATGTACACTATTCAGGTGACAGTTACACTAATAGTCTAGACTTCAGCATTAAGCAATATAATCATGTTAGAAAAAAATACACTTGTACCTCATAAATCCATTTCAAATATTTTAAATACATGCAGAAAAATCATTTTTGAAGGCCAACAATCATTCACGATTTTTTAGTCTTAGCAAAATAGAAATAGAGGATAACTTCCTCAACTTGATAAGGAACATACACAGATGCACACACAAAAAACTATGGCTAACAGCACAGTGGTAAGAAATTAATTGTTTTCTTCCAAAGATAGGAAAAAAACAAGTAAGTCTTCTCTCACTAGTCTTACGAAACATGAGACTGGAAGTTCTAGCTAAACTCACACAAGGAAAAACAGATAAATGGAGTAGGACTATATTTCTTGAGAGAGAAGGGTAATTACAAAGTTCTCCCCAAGATAATCAACTCATGACTGAAGTGTTAAATATAGTCCAGGCATACGAGAAGCTTTTATTCTATAGGGGTTTTTTCTGTTTGCTTTTTGGTTTCATTTTTTTTTTTTTTTGTGATGGAGTCTCACTCTGTTAGCCCAGGCTGGAGTGCAGTGGCCCCATCTCAGCTCACTGCACTCTCCGCCTCTTGGGCTTAAGCAATTCTCCTGCCTCAGCCTCCTGAGTAGCTGGAACTACAGGTGCCTGTTGCTATGCCCAGGTAATTTTTTGTATTTTTGGCAAAGAAGGAATTTCACTGTGTTAGCCAGGATAGTCTCTATCTTCTGACCTCATGATCCACCCACCCTGGCCTCCCAAAGTGCTGGGATAACAGGCATGAGCCACCACGCTTGCCCAAGAGAATCTTGATAACAGCTTTAGTGTATGGGCTTGGAGTCATCTTTAACTTTTCCTGCCATCTTATATGTCGTCAGTCACAAAGTCCTGTCCATGCTTCCTCAGTGAGACTCACTTCTTGGTTCTCACTGCCACGTTCATCATCAAATTTCATGTAGACTTTTAGCTCAGTGGCTCACAACCATTCTTACACAATACAATCATAGATTTAGTGCTATGCCCAGAGATCAGTATTTTTTAAAGTTTCCAAGGTAATTTTAACAAGAAGTCAAAGTTAAGAAACAGTGTTCAAATTGACTTCTACGCTTTTATTCCCTATTTTCTTTAAGCCAACTTATCTTTCTAGAACACAAATTTTAAATATAATTATTCTGTTTACAACACTTCAGTTACTTTCCATAGCCAGAAAAATTTCAAATTCTGTAGGATTACATTTAAAGTCCATCAAGCCTCTGAATCTAATCAACATTTTCAATTTAATGTACTACTACACAGGCTAGGGCTCTGTCAGACTGGAACATTCACCATTGCTGGAAGAGGCCATTCATTTTCATGCCTAGTCTATATCACTGATTCTCATATTTTGGTATGCATATGTAAAATATGGAGAAGAACTTACTTAAAATGCAAAATCCAAGTCCATGTACAGTATCGTGGCCCAAAAATAGCCCAAAGAAACTTCATCCTACAAAGCAACCAGATCCATGATAAAACCTAGTTTTCTATACATGGCAAGATCACAGTAGATGTAAGAGAAATTACCAAGACCATCCTTTTATGGGGAAAAATTCTGTTTGCTAAACTTGGATTGTGTTCAAATGAGAACTGAGTAGCTTTCTGAAGTTAAATGCCAATTTTAGCATTTTTTATTAGGTAAGTCTTGAGCAAGACTTAAGGAAGCAGTACTGAGCCCAGGGTCCTTGTGTTAGAGACAGTATCTAGAGAAAAGTTTAAGTAGTTTCAGGCTAATATTTCCCTTGCATCAGGAAACAATCTTGAGCTAACTTCAAGGAAGGGAACTTGAAACTTAGATTCCTATGTTTTAGAAGGACTCTAGGAAAAAAGCTAGAGTGATCTCAGGTTAGTAATCTTCTCCTAAATAATGAAATGTTTATTTAATGAAGGAAAGAAGAGGTTGGTACTGTGAAGAGTCTTAGGTTTCAATGGTAGAGAGATGAATACAATCTGCTCTAATAGGAGACGCTGAACATTTACAACATGTTATGGTTGCACAGAGGTATCCAAGATTCTCAAAAATTAAGATCAAACAAACATGAGTTCTTAATCAAAGATCCCCAGACATGAGAAAAAAGAACCATCATGAGTGAGTCTGCAGAAACAACAAATAACTGATTTATTTCAAAAGATTTCAGATATTGACATTATAAGAATCAGAATCTGAAATTTCTACAAATGAAATGTTTAAGAAAATAGAAGATGCAATCACAAAATTGCAGGAGAGTAATAAAAACATGAGCATAGATTTGAAAGGGGGGCAAATTGAAATTTTAGAAATAGAAAATATAATTTTGTAGTTAAAAACCCAAATGACATGTTTTATAGCATATTAGATAAGCTAAAGTGATAATTAGCCAGTGCAAGGATAGATCAGAAGAAATTGCCTAGAATGCAACACAGAGAAACATAATATGAAAAATATGAATGAAGTATTTTAAATATGGATAGAATGAGACTACATCACATATCTAATTGAAATCCTAGAAAAAGACAGAGAATGGATGAGGGGCAATTTACAGAGATAACAGCTGAGACTTCTCAAAAATTGATGAAAAATATGAATCTGCCAGAAGTTCATCAACAGGTGTAAGGATAAAAAAATTGTGTGGCTGGGAGTGGTGGTTCATGCCTATAATCCCAGCACTTTGGGAGGCTGTGGAAGGAGGATCACGAGGTCAAGAGATCGAGACCATCCTGGCCAACATGGTGAAACCCAGTTCTACTAAAAATACAAAAATTAGCTGGATGTGGTGGTGCGTGCCTGTAGTCCCAGCTACTCAGGAAGCTGACATAAGAGAATCGCTTGAACACAGGAGGTGGAGGTTGCAGTGAGTCAGGATCACACCACCACACTCCTGCCTGGAGACAGAGCAAGACTCCATCTCAAAAAAAAAAAAAAAAAGTGCTAAGTTCACACTATTTATTTGTAGTGAAAATTAATAAATTACACAAATCAACATAAACAATTCTGAGAAAACTAATGTTGAATTTTTAAAAACAAATAGCAGATGATATACATAATTATTTCATTGTTATAAAGCTCAGGGCAGGAAAAACCAATAGGGATACACATATTCTGATAAAACAACTTTTTTTTTAAAAAAAGGAAGGACTAGTAGCTCATGGAGGAAGATGGAAGTTGCTGCTGAGAGGGCTTGCGGGTAGGCTGGGAGCTGACATGATGAACTTGGAGAAAGACTTCAGACCAATCACACCCCACATCACGTGAGTCCTCAATGACAAGCTGTACAAAAAGGAGAAGGTAGCACTACTGGAGATCTAAAAGGTCATCTGGGATTTCATGGCCAAGAACACACAGCAGATCACCTCTGCCCAGGAGTTTGCCCTGCCTTAGCCTCCCCATAGCTAGAAGGGGTCCATTTATTTGATCAACAGCTCTATGCCACTGAACAAGAACTCGGGGTTCTACATGAAGGAGTTGATTGATCTAATAATGCTGACCTGCTTCAATGACACAGAACAGTGGACTGTAACACTAAACTGGAGCTTAGTATGCCTACAACTTCATCAAGGTGTCCCCAGGCACCGTGCTGCCTCACTCAACATTCTCTTTGATGGACTAAATTCCCTGCTAATCACACACAATACAAAAAGCAAATCAGAGTTCCTACACTTCCTTTTTTAAAAGACATTGTGATTGAGAAAAAGAAGGTTGACTTAGTAGGTTCCAATCTTTTGTTGCCGGATAGGATTTGATCCAACAACAAGTAGTCCTGCCAGTTCATCATCTCTTGGGTCCTGGTTCTGGAGCCTGTGTCAGATTTTAACCTGCTGGATTACCTGCCAGAGATCCTAGATGAACTCTTCCAAATTCTGGGAAACAAAGACGAAGAAATTCCAAAACTGTGTGAGGTGGTGTTTGGATAATTCTGGAAAGAAATTAGAAAGAACCTCATGTTGAGATGATCAGCATCCTGGTGATGCACTGCCAGATCACAGACAATCTGATCCAGCTGGCAGCCATGTGCTAAATGCTAGAGTTCATTTAACACTGGCAGTACCATGCTGCCCCACCCTTCTGGCATCCTGACTGCGATCTTGCCTGTTTGTCCTGCAAGGAGCTTAAGAAAAGCATCAAGGAGTGGCTAATGTGTGCCGCCAGAACTTGATGAAGCTGGCTCCTGTCAAGCAAGATGGAGCTGGACAAGTCAAAGCCATTGCAGAGACAGAACCCAACCCCAATAATTCCCTAGCAAAAGAAGAAGACACAGACAGTGGAGGTCCACACGATTCTTGTACTCTAGTTTCAGTAAAAGCATTTGTGTCTTCATTGCAGCTAGCACTGAAAGGGTCCCAGTGTTTTGTATAATCCCTTCACCACCATGCGGTTGTGCAAGTTCTGAATATCACCTCTGTGACATGGACATTGGGATAATGATCAAAATTGCCATTCTGAACTAGGTCTATCATCTCTACCGCAAGACTTCCTGGAAGATGCTCCAGTAGACAGACAGCCTCTTCCCCATTTTGAGGTAGTAAAAGTTAGAATTTCAATATATGAAATTTTTGAGGTTACACAATTCAGCCCACAGTAAATGACTATGAACATTTTTAAAGGTGTGAATACATTTAATCAAATAGACCCTATCAATTGTAAATAATATTTCTACTCAGATTCAGGACAGGAATATAATTCCAAAATGTGGGGAGGCCTCAAATAAAGCAAAGTTGATCCTATAGTATTTTCATTTAAAGGAATGTGTAGAAAGTAATTCCAAGAAACTTCCCTATTTTGAAAATGGAGATGAGGTCTATACTGGGTACTTGTTATGGTGTGTATTTGCATAGAGCATATTTGAGGGCAAAATGTCTTTATCATACTTGTAACTTGGTAGGAAATCTTGCAGAAACACTGCTTAGTTTATACCTCTATTCTGAGGAACAGAATAATCATGTATCCTAATGTTTATATTAATTTATCCTGTATACATAATATACTTTATTAATATATTATTGTTTTCACAGAAGAAACATTTTTTATCAACTTCTCAAATCTTTCTTCTGTCGTATTTTGAAATGCTGTTTTCAGTCAGGCAATAAACTGAAAGGCAATTTAAGAAACTAACCACAGCTCTCTTAGAAAGCTACAGTGGCTTTCAGCTTCCTTTTGTTTCTCATATGAAACTCTAAATATTTGCTACAAGGTTTGGAAAATTCAAACTCACCTGCAAAGATTATTGTTTCCTTTGCTTGATGATTCACAATCAAATTCCTACTGTTGATTTTTGGTTCAACTGTTGCTACCAACCAAAACCTTTTTTCCACAAGCTAAACATTTTCTGTTCACCAAAACTCATTTATAAAACTTGCCCACAACATAATTTCCTTTTTTTCTAAACAAAACAATGAAAAAACAAATTTGTTTCATCAAAAACAATCCAACAAATGCCAGCAGTTAGGTATGTTTTAAGACCTCCAAGTAGAAATGTTTGTCCAGGTCTCATCTGCCTTTTCAAAAATGTAATACTTGTTAAAGTAAAGTAGCTGCCTGACTTGCGTTTGTAAATCAATGGAACATTTTCTACTATTCAAAATATTTTATTTTAATGAAAATTATTATAATACACCTATCATATGTAGTTCAATTTTTTTTTGAAATGACAGAATACTGCATATTCTTCACAAACATTGTTAGAGAGAATGAAAGGGGAAGTGCTACACACTTTTAAACAACCAGATCCCCTGAGAATTCACTCGCTGTCACAAGAGCAGCAAGGGGAAAATCTGCCCCCATGATCCAGTCACCCTTCACTGGCCCCTCCTCCAACACTGGAGATTAAAATTTGACATGAAAATTGGGCACGGACACACATACAAACTATATCAATGTAGAAACAGCTTTGGCTTGTTCTGGAGACAGCCAGGCTGAAGGTGTAGCAAATCGATGGTGGACAGGCAAAAGGCCAGGATGGGAGGTGGGTGGAAAAGAAGACAAAGTGGAATAAGTAGAAGAGGGGAGAAGAAGGGGAAGAAGAAACAGTGGAAGAAAAGGGTGAGAAAGTAAAGAAAAACAAAAATAAGAACAAGAATGAAAACAAGAGAAAAGAAAGGGCAAAATAAAAGGAAAAAAGTCCAAGGTAAATAAACTCGTTCTGTTGGCAGAATGAGTTCTGCTAAATCTACCTACCTCCATCAGAATTGTGCCATTTGATCTATTAAGACTTTCTTGGATAATGTAGACTTACATGAGAAATTATAGAAGTTGATTATTCAGTCTCTGAAAAGTTAAAGAACAAAAAACTAGATTCAAAAATGGAATTCTAAACAAGGAAATGTGTAGAGTGATGTTTCCTCCCTCACATAGTGTTGGATATGTTCATTATTCTGGCTGTGGTGATAGTTCCATGGATGCAGGCCTATGTTAAAACTTATTAAATCGGCCGGGCAAGGTGGCTCATGCCTGCAACTCCAGCATTTTGGGAGGCCAAAGTGGGCAGATCATGAATTCAGGAGATCTATACCATCCTGGCCAACATGGTGAAACCCTGTCTTTACTAAAAATCTAAAAATTAGACTAGATGGTGGCATGCACCTGTAGTTCCAGCTATTGGGAGGCTGAGGCAGGAGAATCACTTGAACCTGGGAGGCTGAGGTTGCAGAGAGTGGAGATCATGCCACTGTGCTTCAGCCTGGTGACAGAGTGAGCTCCGTCCAAAACAAAACAAAAACCTTATTAAATCAACTAGGGTAAGCATCTGTCAATTGTGTATCAATTACAACTCAATAATGCTGGAATTTTTTTTTTAATGTTATCCAGCTAAAGTTGTCTTTAAAATCCTCAACTCAGGGTACAGTGGCTCATGTCTGTGGTCCCAGCGTTTTGGGAGGCCATGGCAGGCAGATCACGAGGTCAGGAGATCGAGACCATCTTGGCTAACACCGTGAAACCCCCATCTCTACTAAAAATACAAAAAAATTAGCTGGGCATGGTGGCCCGCACCTGTAGTCTCAGGTACTTGGGAGGCTGAGCCACAATAATGACTTGAACCCAGGAGGTGGAGGTTGCAGTGAGCTGAGCAAGATCAGCCACTGTACTCCAGCCTGGGCAACAGAGCAAGATCCATCTCAAAAAAAAAAAAAAATCTTGCAATGACTTTGAATGGAATAAATAATGTCGATCAAATCTGTACCAATACAGAAATTGTCATTGTTATTATAATATATGCAACAGATAAAAAAGAAAAAATATACCTTAAGAAGGTAAGAAGGTAAGATTTTATCAGTTTTGGAACTACTCTGTCAAGATTTTTTACATCTCGGGTAAAATATTACGCTCCTTTCTAGTATGAAGACCACACCTGAAGCAAGATCATATTTCTCGGGAACATTATTCCACACAGATTTCTTTGCCCGGTAGATCAGTGGTCCCAACCTTTTTGGCACAAGATGTGGGGTATGGTTTCAGGGTGAAACTGTTCCACCTCAGATCATCAGGCATTAGTTGTATTCTCATAAGGAGCACAAAACCTAGATAATTCGCATGCACAGTTCACAATAGGGTTTGCACTCCTGTGAGAAGCTAATGTTGCCACTGATGTGACAGGAGGTGAAGCTCAGGGGGTAATGCTCATTTGCCAGCAGCTCACCTCCTGCTATATGGTCTGGTTCCTAACAGGCCACAGAGTGGTACTAACAGTTCATGACCAGGGTTTGGGGACCCCTGCTGTAGATTATGGACCCTACAGAGTGGTTGTTGCAAACATTAGAAAGCAGGACTTGGGCAAAGTGCATTGGCTCATGTCTGTAATCCCGGCACTTTGGGAGGCCGAAGGAGGTAGATCATGAGGTGAGGAAATCCAGACCATCCTGGCTAACACAGGGAAACCTGTCTCTACTAAAAATACAAAAAAATGGCAGGGCATAGTGGCACATGCCTGTAGTCCCAGCTGCTCCGGAGGCTGAGGCAGGAGAATTGCTTGAACCTGGGAGGTGGAGGTTGCAGTGAGCCGAGATCACACCACTGCACTCCATCCTGGGCGACAGAGCCAGATTTCGTCTCAAGAAAAAAAAACAAAAAGGAAACCAAAAACAAAAACAAAAAAGAGCAGGACTTGATGAAAAGGTTAACATTAAACAAACCCTGTCTTGAATTAGCATCTATAGAATTGAGAATTCTGAGATGTAGGAAAACCTTTCTCTACCCATGGTTATGGTGGAACCATCACCTCAGGTGAAACCTCTGATGCATGCCTTACAATTCTTGAAATCATGCAGAAAGGGGGTGATGAGACTAAACCAACTGCAAAAATTCCTCTGCAAATATTATCCTACAGTTGCTTGTCCAAAGACTTATCAAGGAAAGAGAAGGATGCTTGAAGAAAATTGAACATGATGCGGGGACCAAGATAAAAATCCCACTTTTGCAGGATTTGAACTTTTAAACCCTGAAAAAATACCTTGATTCTCACACCAATGATAAGGCAGAGAGTATTAAGAAGCTGCATAAAACCTTTGAAAGCAATGTGCTACTTGTTATCAACAAGCCAATCTCATCCCAGGGTTGAATCTCATGCTCTTGGTATTCAAAATCTGTGACTGGAGGAACCTCCTCCACACCCCTGCCTCTTTGGTATGTACTAAAACTTCTATATTCCATTTCCGCCTCACCACATCAGTCCATTTCCTCATCATCGCTACTATCCAGAACAGGATATTGGAATCTCTCCATCTCATCTGGGCTGTGGGAGACAACATGGGAAAAAATGGGTCAACACAGTAAAATATTTAAAGAGATTTATTGGGCTTCTATCAACATTGCCACAGCAGAAGTTCCGGATGTCAGAGAGAAGATGTCATCATTACAGTTCCACCTATTCAAGGGTCAGGGGCATATCTTTAAAAACCTAAAACAACAGAAAGTATTTAACCC